GAAATGTTCATATACATGATCTGTCTTGACTGCATAAGTCAGTCAGTCAATCAAGGTTAGGTTGGGGGGACAGGAATCTCTTGTTTTGAACAAGCAAAAAAAATATTTTAAACCCACAATCCTTTTCCTTTCTTTTTCTCTGGTGGCTGTTTTTTGTATTTCTTTTTTCCTCCAGCCACTTGTAGAAGTGCTGTGCTCAGTATTAAAATAATACATTTACTATGGGTGTTTTGTTTCAAAACCTAAGTTTGCCGAGTGATTACTTTTGCAAGGTTGGTTCTATTAGTTTTAAAAGGGCTAAAATTCTGCCTTCAGAGTCAAACATGCAATTTCCTCTGAATTTAGCGAGAGATGTACATACACTTATCTGAGGGCATTAGCTAGCCTGAATGTGGTGTTTAGCAAGGCCCAGTTTAGACACCCTTGCATACCCCAAGTTAGTCAGCTCAGGCATTTGTGAACATGTGCACAGGCCCTTTGAGAATAACAGCATCCACGAAAAACCTTTTTATTGTGGGTATACCCAATTCTGGGCTACTATTCCCACCCCCAGTTATGCTGCTTCCATTCTTTTCATCTTGCCTATATCTTCACTACCTGGTTTTTGACCCTTTCTTTCTGTAGATAGCAAATATTTCCGAATTAAGGTAAACTATATTTCTTCAGTGGTACTATTTTTTCTGGCACACTGATCCTCTTGCTACATCAAATGCATTAAATTCTTTCTGACATCAGCATTACCCCTTGATTAAATTACAATACTCAATTCAATTGGGTGTCATGTAGACTTAACCATATATAAAGCAATATTAGTTTTATAATGATGCTTTCTGTTTCACTTTACTTTCCACCAGGATTTTTCTTCTTGTTTTCTTTGAATTTCCTGTAAAATAAAAGACATTCCCTCTTAGTGAAGGTTGTTCTACAAAATGTTTATGCTCATAAAGATAAAGGAGAAGCAACTAGAGAGACAAAGCTCTATTGCTTAAATGTGCTTATCCATTTTTTTCTGTACATTATTATGATGGGTTTGGACACAGAAACGCCTTTGGGACTGCCACCTGATGTGCTGTGAGCCCATTTTCTCTGCCAGCTTGGGACTCCAGTACCTTGCCTTGTTTGAGCCAGACATGCTTGCCTGCTGCAAACACAGATTCAAGTCTGAACCACGTCCCCCACAAGCTGTAGGCTTAAGTGAAAGTAGCGTAAGAAGTGCTCCTGTCTTCAACACTCAGATACCCAACTCCCAATGGGGTCCAAACCTCAAATACATCCGTTTTACCCTGTATAAAACGTATATAGGGTAAACTCATAAATTGTTCACCCTCTGTAACACTGATAGAGAGATATGCACATTAATTAATACATACTCTGGGTTCATTCATAAGTAAAAAGTGATTTTATTAAATAAAAAAGTAGGATTTAAGTGGTTCTAAGTAATAACAGACAGAACGAAGTAAATTACCAAGCAAAATAAAATAAAGCACGCAAGTCTAAGCCTAATACAGTAAAAACTAAATGCAGGTAAATCTCACCCTCAGAGATGTTCCAATAAGCCTCTTTTTACAGACTATACTTCCTCCTAGTCTGGGTCCAGCAATCACTCACATTCCTGTAGTTACTGTCCTTTGTTCCAGTTTCTTTCAGGCATCTCCTTGGGGTGGAGAGGCTATCTTTTGTGCCAGCTGAAGACAAAATGGAGGGGCTTCCAGGGGCTTACATAGACTTTCTCTTGTGGGTGGAAACCCCTCTCTTTCCCTGTGTAGCATCCAGCTACAAAATGGAGTTTTGGAGTCACATGGGCAAGTCACATGCCCATGCATGACTCAGTTTTCTACAGGAATTCCCAGGAAAGCTCAGATATGGATTGGCGTCTATCAAGGTTCTTTGTTCGCCACGTCTCCCAGTTGCTTGAGTAACCCCTTCACACTATGTTGACCACATCTGCCTTTGGTGCTTTCTACAGCAAACACTTTAAATACAAACATAGAGCCAACACTCATAACAAAGATATGTTACATGGCATCTCTAGCATAAGACATATTCCAGTTATGTCATATTTACACTCATAAGCATATTTCTATAAAGCATTATGGGGTGCAATGTCACAATTATCTTTAAGCTTAAGCAATGAGGCATCTCTGTCATAATTGTCTATGAAGTATATATTAGCAGAACTTAGTCTTTCCTCTACTGTGCTGATTATAGTTGCCCTCCTTCAAACAGTTAATGTTGAGCATAGTGTTGCTATCATGACCAAGTCTCAGAGTTTTTTTTAATTTGTTGATAGTGTAGCAACCAAATTAATCTGTTGTAGTCTAATAATGTCAATGAAATTACACTGAGAATTAATATAGCAAGAGCTTTTATAGCCATATAAATAGGAAGAAAACAAAGAAAGAAGAAGTGGGACCGCTTAAGACTGTAGATGGAGTGGAGATTAAGGATAATCTAGGCATGGCACAATATCTAAATGAATATTTTGCATCGGTATTTAATGAGGCTAATGAAAGGCTGAGGAATAGTAGAAGCAAGACTAATGGGAATAAAGGAATGGGGATTGACATTACCGTATCCGAGGTAGAAGCCAAACTCAAACAGCTTAACGGGACTAAATCGGGCGGACCGGATGATCTTCATCCGAGAATATTAAAGGAACTGGCGCGAGAAATTGCAAGCCCGTTAGCGATAATTTTTAATGAATCTGTTAACCCCTTTGAGTGGAGAATAGCTAATGTGGTTCCTATTTTCAAGAAGGGGGAAAAAAGTGACCCGGGTAACTACAGGGCTGTTAGTTTAACATCTGTAATATGCAAGGTCTTGGAAAAAATTTTGAAGGAGAAAGTAGTTAAGGACCTTGAGGACAATGCCAATTGGGACAAATTACAACACGGTTTTACGAAAGGTAGATCGTGCCAAACCAACCTGATCTCCTTCTTTGAGAAAGTAACAGATTATTTAGGTAAAGGAAATGCGGTGGATCTAATATACCTCGACTTCAGTAAAGCACTTGATACGGTACCTCATGAGGAATTATTGGTTAAATTGGAAAAGATGGGGATCGATATGAAAATACAGAGGTGGATAAAGAACTGGTTAAAGGGTAGACTGCAGCGGGTCGTACTGAAAGGTGAACTGTCAGGTTGGAGGGAGGTTACCAATGGAGTTCCTCAAGGTTCGGTTTTGGGTCTGATTTTATTTAATCTGTTCATTACTGACCTCGGAACCAAATGTAGGAGTGGGCTGATAAAGTTTGCGGATGACACAAAGTTGGGAGGTATTGCCAATTCGGAGAAGGATCGGGATATCCTGCAGGGAGATTTGGATGACCTTGTAAACTGGAGTAATAGTAATAGGATGAAATTTAATAGTGAGAAGTGTAAGGTTATGCATTTAGGGATAAATAACAAGAATTTTAATTATAAGCTAGGGACGCATCAGTTCGAAGTAACGGAAGAGGAGAAGGACCTCGGAGTCCTGGTTGATCGCAGGATGACTATGAGTCGACAATATGACGTGGCCGTGAAAAAAGCTAATGTGGTCTTGGGATGCATTAGGCGAGGTATTTCTAGTAGGGATAAGGAGGTGCTGGTTCCGTTATACAAGGCACTGGTGAGACCTCATTTGGAGTACTGTGTGCAGTTCTGGTCTCCCATGTTTAAAAAGGATGAAATCAAACTGGAACGGGTACAAAGAAGGGCCACTAGGATGAT